TGCCACACACTCTACTTATCTAGGTGGAGATGGGTTTGTTGTGGTGACAGTGGGTCTAAAACCCACACACGCATGACACACGGGGATGTGGGCAGTCGTGCTCAGCCGCAATCAATGTGGCCAGCCTTGTATGTGATAGGCACAAAGAAAGAGGAGCTGCAAGACGAAGTGAAAGAAGCACCCCAAATTAAGCCAAAGTAAAGATAGTCAAGAAAGGGATATAATATTGTGCTTCATGTTGCTTGCTATAGAGGTAAAACTGTTTCATTGTTGGATTGGCTCATTGCAAGTCCGTTTCATTGTCTGCAATAGAGGTAAAGCTCCCTCGAATTTGGATCTACTCGTCTGGGTGGAACGGGCCCAACGGGGGCTGCTTTTTGAAAAACACACATTCGGGTTTTGCTAGCTCTCTGTCCTGGCAGATTTGAGCGGTTAGTATCGGGCCGGTATTAGCGAGCTATTCTTCTTTTGTGGTTGGATATGTTTTCATGGTTTTGTTTATTATACCTGGCCTAATTATTTGCCCTGCGTTGCAGCATGGGCTGTCTTTTAGATGAAGGAATGTCTGTGGGTGGCTGCAAGGTCTTTTCGGGGTGGGAATGTCTGGCTGGAGTTTAGGCCACGGTATCCTTGCGAGGAGGCTTAGAGAGTGTTTGCTGTGGGTGTAATTCCCGCAGGCTGCTCTTTTGGAGCACATGGAAGAAATGGGGAAAGCGTCTATAGGTTGTTTTAAGCAGTGGAGTTTGGGAATATGGCACTCAATCTATACACTCCAGGGTTTAGAGAGCAAAGTGAAAGGGAGGTAGTCTAGCCCCTGGAGTGATAGAGATGATGGTGACGTGAATGGTTCGTTTGGGATGAAAAGCAGCATCAGTGTTGTAACTGTTGTTGCACTTGTGCAATTGATTTTGTGGCCTTATGGACCGACTCCGTGGGCTCTCCAAGTTTTTTTCCGACCAATGGTGGACGTGCTCAGTGCTTTCTTCTTGGTGGAGCCTTCTGTGTTGTGGTACAACTAATTCTTTGTGTTTTCTGTAATTGCAGTTTGTTAAGCATATTGCCTTTTGCCCTCCATCCTTTTATGGATTGTAATATAAAACTCCTTCGAAACAGTTTGTCACACTGTCAGCCCCCTCGTTTGTTGTCCTCGTCTTCTTCTCCCTCTCTGCCTACGGTTGACCGGCCAGCTCTGTTTGATGATATTATCGATGTATACAAATATAATATATATTGAAACTCCAACGAAACAGTTTGTCACAGCCCCTCGTTTGTTGTCCTGTTCTCCCTCTCTGCCTACGGTTTACCGGGCAGCTCTGTTTGACTATATAGATAGATAGATAGATAATAGATAGATAGATAGATAGATAGATAGATAGATAGATCATCATTTCTGCAAGTGTGCCGTTTCGACGGTAGATGGGTGTGCGGGCACTTGGCGCTTAACCACACAAATGTGGCCAACCTTGCATCTTCTACTATATTGCCCATCTATTTGGTCTATACCTTTTTCTTGTTTCATGGATGGTTTGTGATGATTTGTGGATGGAATGTGTGTGTGTGTGTGTGTGTGTTGTGTGTTGTGTGTTGTGTGTGTTGTGTGTTGTGTGTTGTGTGTTGTGTGTTTTTGTGTGTGTGTTTG